TTATCTCATCAGCTTCTCTGCGAGTTGGATTTCACTAAAAATTATCATTCACCGATTATCCTTCGGCTATTACGACTACTAATCCTTATTGGATATAATGAATCCATTTACGAATCCACTTTCGTATCGAAGGTTATAAATCTTTTTTCGATTCTCAAGTTTTCCCATTCTGAGAAGATCAATAGATATCTGAAAGAACGCAGTATGGGACAGCTTGTAAAAACTCTAATTAACGATCTTAGTGAGACAGGCTGCGATTCCTTAGTCGTAGTCTACTACCGCAGAGAAGACAAATCTAGATTTGCCGAACTAGTAAAGGATGGGGCTAAAATACTCAAATATAATTCTGGTGAAGAATTCAGGTCTTCTCTTTGGAAAATCGTATCTCCAGTAGCTAGCGAAAGAAAGGCTGCTGCATACGCTATTTTTAGTTGCAATGAAGTTGAGGATGATGAACAGAATGAAATCTCTGAAGATAACCCGGAGTCAACTGAAGAAATTCAAACTTGGTTCCAAAAAATTACCGATTCCCCTCATGCTGATGAAAAAGCCAAAATAATACAATATTGGTTTCGCTCAGCACTCATTCGAAAGCAAAAGCCCTGCAAGTATGTTCGAGATACAACTCTAGATAAGATTTATAATGATATATCTAATTTTTGCAACGATGCATCGCACTGGGAAGCTGCTAAGAGACTAAAAGGAAAAAGGGTGGTGCGCAAGTATATTATGCTCTTGAAAGGTGATGCGGTTGATTTAATCGTGAAGCTTGAGAAAATGCAAAATGAAATGGATACAATCCAAAATAAATTAAAAAAAATAATGCAAAATAAGACTATCGATGACGAAACGACATATTCTTACATAAACCTAGAGGACGATTTAAGGTCTGTTAGCACCAGTTTAGCATAACAATGCGTTCTTTTTATCTTCAAAATTTTGATTATTTCTTTTATTTTAGGTTTGATTACTTATTTTATTTTAACATTATGATAATGTTAAGTTTGCCCTGGAATCGTTATCAACGACTGAAAAATGCAGTACAACATGAAAAGGCAAACGTTGAATGGCTTGAAAATGAATTACAAAAAACGAACAACACTATTAATAATGTTTTGGAATGGATAGATGAGTGCAAGACTGTCATAAAATAAATTTAGAGTATATTTGATTATACGAACGCTTGAAATATTCTGTTTGAAAAAAAGAGTAAAGAATGCATTATTTTATTCATATATGAAAGAATTGATTTTTGTATATTTTAGTGGCTGCGTTAAGATTATTAATAAATCCAAGAGAATTCAGAAATTTTAGTGCATTTATGTTCAACAATAGATAGATACAGTGACAATATCGAACAATTTTAGTGCCTCTTTTCACTTTAGCCCGATCACTTTTCCACAAGAATGTAAAAGATTGCAAGTACAGTCAGACTTCTCTAAGTGCATGCCCTTGTGTATTTCTTTTTTTCTAAAAAAGATATACCCAATTATTTCTCGGTAAATCAAGTTAGGAAAATATATACCAGGAACGGAGTGATATTGAAAATTTCACGAAGTGATGGTTATACGGCAATTTAATGATGTTACTCCGCAAAATCTTGCAATTGATTGGGCATTATATTGCATAGTGTAAGGGCGTGAGTGCAGATTTGATTTTTCACATGCAACTTCGTCACCGGATTCTGAAATTGGGGGGATGGCTAAAGCCATGTTCGGTTAGGGACTACTTTTTTGATGCATTTATGGTTAATGTTTATAATATTAAGAATACGATTTATGCAATATGTAGATCAATATGTAATTAGAGAATACGTATGATAATCTCGTGTGCGAATTTTCTAGTCCATTACCGGGTTTTTTTTTTAATAACGATAATAAAATTGTGAATAGCTTGTTAACAAAATGACAAAGAAACCGTTTTTGATAATCAGTGTAGTTAAAAGTTGTTGTTCAGTAGTGAGAGGTCATTTTTCGCTCATTTTGACTCGGCAGCTAAGGCAATGATTGATACTTGGTTTACAGCTGTTATCATTATTCTTGGGACACCTATGAAAAATTAACCGAATCCGATTCGATAAATAGATTTCGGCATGATCAATGTAATGTTTATTATAGTCTAAAGCCTGTACATACGTACGTAGGTTTTAAATTGATTACTAATCGATTTGTAAATTAAAACTCGCATGAAACATATAAAATACTACAGGCCTTTAAACGACTTCTATTCTCACTTCTTAAAGTTCCATCTCTGATTGTAACTTATACAAATATAAGTTAGACTTTCTTCCATTAAAGTCAAAAAATATTTTACATCATTCAGGTTTAGTAAACCTGGTTTTCTTATAGTGGCGGAAGTCTTTCGACATATCCATATTTTGAAATTGTTTGAGAACTCGATTTATTGAAAATTTGCTAACACTAAAATGTTTAGCAATTGTTCGAACTGATAATCCTTCTAAATCGTTTTTGACTATTATCTAGCGAATATGCTTCGTAAGCATCATATTCAACCAGAGTTATATTGATATTGGTTATCTGGTTTAGGGATGGGTTCGGTTAGCTTATAGTCGGCTAGCCGACCGTAGCGATAATAGTCGCTTAGCTGAACCGACTCATTAGTCGATAACCGATAATAGCTGACCGATAACCGACCGAATCCATCCCTAATCTGGTTATTATGGTTATTATAGATTAAATAATTATCACTACTGCACCGTAAATAGAGGTCGTTAAAAGGCTTGTAGTTAGTGGTACGAGTTGGTAGCTACTGGTAGGCATCTACCACCAGTAGTTGCTAATAAGTTAGATTTTAAACTTTATTATTAGATACTACTCACGTACTTAGCATCTACCAGTAATGGTAGAACTACGGTCACTTGGAAAAACTACTTGTGGTATTTTATTGTTTCACGTGAGTTTCAATTTACAAATCGATTAATAATCAATTTAAAATCTACAGGCAAACTCTTCATTTTCGACTCGAAAAATGGGTTGCTTATATTTGAAGATATACGGCAAGTATAAAAACTTTATATTTATATATGATCTAAATTTTTAAAAGGAAAATTATTTTCCTGCATTTAAGCAAATTTTGAGTAGTTAGTTAAGTTCCGTTCCTGGTTTTGCGCGATGACGTCGCGCAGCTATCTAGTGGACCAAGTGTACAAAGTAGTACGTACCTATGCTGCATTCCTAATTACCCTTTTTTAATTTTGACCGATGTCCTTTACCATAAATGATCATGCGGTGTAATAGTCTTAACATAAGTGGTCATGCGGTGTGAGTACTTTTTACCCTAAATGATTTATTTTTGTCAGTTTGTGTTAGATGATCGTCAAAACAATTTCCTCACAATCCCTTAAAAGCAAATTTGCATTCGACCTTTTTTTATACATGTTACTATAGCTTCTAGCTATTCTTTCAAGAATTACTGTCATTTCATATTTGCCCTGGTAAGTAATATCGTAAAAATTATATATCTAAACTGATTTTACATGTTTAATAATCTGAATTTTTCTCTTTTGTCATTTTTCTCTTTTTTTGGTTCAGATTGTTTATCGGTTTATTATTTGATAATCTCGATGGTATCGATGACTTCTCAATGAAACAAATAAAAAAAAAAAAAAAAAAAAAAACGAGAGAACGGATTAGTAATATTGCTTACCATTCCTGATAATCATGTTGCGATGTATGTACTGTACGTACGTATATATATGCACATAGAATATATATATCAATCATAGCCATCATTATTGATATATGTGCGTACGTGCATACATATGATGAATTGATACGTAATCAACAATGATAGTTAAAGGCTGTAGCAAAAGAATTTCCAAAGTTAAATTATGTAAATCTTTATTGTGACTAGAGTTTGGAACCGGTTTTATTTTTCATATGATAAAATCGATTAAAATCGGGTTTAAAATATGAAAACTAAAACCTGTTCTAAACTTTGATTATGACTAATTCTATGATTGTTTCTAAATATATAGAAGTTATTATTCATGTTACTATAAATCCTATGCGTATATTAAAACACATGTCCGTCACGCTATTGAATAATTGAAAGTTTCTAACACATATTGTTTGTTAACCGTAGTTAGATAAAAATTTGGCTAAAGAATTAAAGAAGTTGTAATGTTTGATATAAAATATTTATTTACTTTCCAAATTTGTTATTAGCAAAGCCACAAGAATCCAAGGTTATTGCTAGAAGTTAGATGTGCTTACTAAAAAGTCAGTGTGGTACTTTTACAAGTGTAGTATACTCTGAAATGCCTTTTCTTCTTAAGAACAAGCTTTTAGAGAAGATGCAATCCTTTACAAATCTTTATTGCAAAACCAAAATTAAATTCATAATCACCAAAGTGTTTTTGTCTAGTAGATGTTTCTGACATTATACTGAAATCATAAATACTTATGTAAACTTTTGACCTGTTAAAACCTTAGGAACAACATAAGGTATGATACATAAATATCACATTATTTAGCTGGTGGTAGTTTTGTGATTTTAATAGTAAATGAGTTCATAATTTCAGTAGCTAGCAAGTTCACAATTTTATTAGTGGTAGGTTAGTGATTTTACACTTAGCAATTCGTGATTTCAACAGTAGTTATAGTGGTGATTCATAATTTTAACAGTAAGCATATTCGTGTAATTTCAATAGTTTTAAAAGATGGATCTGCCTTATTTCATCAACACTTATTTTGTAGATACAGCATTTCATCAACAAACAATTCAATTACATGTTCACTTCACTGATACTTAATTCACCAACAAGCTTAATTCACTGATAATCAATTCACTGACAATTATATATGGGTGTCTAAATTATGAATGATTTATGACAGTTGGCATGTCAAAATTTTTTTAATATTTTTGCCACAGCACTTCAAGATGTTATGTGTCTAAATTGTTTTTGGTTGTCAATATTATTATAGACTGCCGATTAGTATTCTGACCCATCATGAAAATTCTAAACTAGATCACCTGTGGGTGGGTCACCCGAGTGACCTGGGTGATACAAAAATTTTTACAAACGAGTCACCCGTGGGTGGGTCACCCGGATGACCCAGGTAATACAAGAAATTTTTTATTCAAGTGATCTATAGATTATTATTTAATACTATTAGAAAGCGACAAGAGATATCTTTATTATTAATAAATCTGAACTCAAGTGCTCATAATACGTATATAAACCAAAACTTTATAGTTAATAGCCTAAATACATTACAAAAACTTACTAATAAAAGTTTTTAAAACTATTTTAATAGAGTTTTAGCAAAACATTTCCAGTTCAATAAGCATTTTGTTTTAAGCAAGCTAGTAATAAGTAAGATCCTTTTGAATAATAAACATTGCTATTTGTTTTAAGCTGGGAATAACTTTTGCAATGATTTTTTTATTAGTGTTAGTGAAACTTAATTCTATGAATTCACAGGTGGATCAGCAAGTCTACATCGCTTGACAAGTTTGTATATACTTATGTACATCTTTACATATTTGTACAATTATACCGTACTACTTTACTAACTATCTGGATAGGAGACTTTACCAAAATTAATTTTACAAACCAATGTTAATCATATGTACTAACAAAATTTTGCTTACTTATTATACGTTCGTACAATCGTACTATACTATTTTACTAACAACTACAAAATTTCAAGATTCTTTTTATAATATATGTTATATATTATTTTATTTATGTCTATAATTTAAAGTACAAACTATTGCGCTGAGTAAATAGTAATTTGCTTATTATTATAGGCGACAAGTGATTTCTTTTAAAAGTGATTTGGTTATCTGCATCAGAAAAAAATCGCTCACTCGCAACTGAAGTAGCAGAGATTGACAAGTATTTGTGAGCTATTTTACTCAAGATAGGAAAATAATTTTTATTTTCACCCCACCAATCGTAAACATCTTTTGATTCAGGTAAAAGAGGTATTATTGATTCATTTAAATAGTTATCAATTTCAGATTTATTATCTATTATACGTTTGCTACTACTAATGCTAATATTTTTCTCATAAATCAGGGTGTAGTAGTTTTTTCAACTGTTTCTAATTCATCAGCTTCAGTTGCATTTTGCCAAGTTCTAAACTCGTTATTTAATTTATTAATTGCTTTTTCTCACAAATCATGA